TATTATTATTATAAGTTTTAACTATCATCGAGAATAAACTACCAAACATTAGTAAACAACCACCAAACGAATACTTACAATTATGATTACTTACACAGTCTGGAAAGTCATATTTTGCGAAAGGAGGGGCTAACTTCACCCGCGGATATCTTTTTTTCATATTATTATTTACAACTTTGACTACCAGTAAAAATGGACTACCAAATAATCACCAATCGAGTGGTAATGGCCGTTTTTCAATTTTTTATAGTGGAGGGGGAGCAACTTTATACTATAGCTAATGGTTACAGAATTTCTTAAAATAATATGTTACCGTTACAGTAATACTTAATACGCTTATTGATACAATAATGAAGAATGTAATTTTTTTATTTATTTTAATTTAATTGTTCAATTTCTTAATTATATTTAAATGATACATCCAGCTTTCAGTATCTCACATTAAGGACAATTTTTGCACATTCAAAATAATATTGCTTACGGTGTTACTTTTCGAGTTTTTTTTTCACAATTGACCTACACTTTATGCGTCCAACATCACTCGCAGGACGGACAAGTATGAAAGAGAGCTTTTTAATATGGTCATGAAAGTCCCGATGTTTACGACGAAATATCTGCCAGCTAATAGCTGAACAGGATGCTGCGACCGCATAATAACGAACAAAACATTTCTCATTAATTTTATTGGCAAGCAATGCCAATTGCAGCTATAAATCGAATGCGCGACTTCTTCCATTTTACATTTCATATAATCGCCCACGAAACTATAAAAGAACAACTGTAACAGCAAAGTGCTCAACACTGTTATAGTTTTAGTTATCATTACTGCATCATGCATTTTCAATGCCAAGATAAGTTGGAAACCTGAAAAATATGTATATGATTACATAATGCATGATTGCATAAATATCAACTTTGTGATATTGATACAAAAATTATTTATCATTTTTGTTATACGTTATTAAAATACTTGTAGAGGATAGAACTAATAAATATTCCATCGACATTCGATAAAATTTTAGCCTCATAATTATTTTTAAAAAGATTCACAATATTCTAACAGTATTATAATATATTGCTCGTATATCATACAGAGAATAGCGTTAAATTCAAGCGATATTTACCGATCAGGCAAATAATAAGACAACTGAGCAGCAGTTGCACGAACAGGACGAAACTTATTACATCTACCAAAAGTTTCGCGTGCTTTATTAGATAATGATGTCTAGATGCCAATTTTTCAAAATCTTTATTCATATTTTTGCTCTTCATGCCGTAGTTGATAAATTCGATTTTTAGGAGCTCCATTTGTCCGCAAACATGGAGAGTGATTGCGAGGAAAAGTGAATCGCCGCCTTTATAAATAAATATTTCAATGTTGCATTAAAACAGTTTATTTTATAATTTTTTTATTACGAATTATTATTATTTTAATAATAATAGTAAAATTAGTTAGAATCAGTTGCACACAAGCAATGTAAGGCTGTAAGCACAATGGAAGAAATATTAGGAACCGTGTACTAGAATGGAGTACATAACTTCTGATAGGTTCAAATTCTTATATTTATTCCTGTTCCTAATTTTCCCCATTGCGCCTAAAAAAAACAGAATATTATTGCATTGCAATAGTAGAAAAAGCTACAACATTAAAAAGAACATTTCTTATAAAAGACATATAATTATTTAATACTCAACACCAATAAAAATACATTTTTGTAAACATCAAATTCAATTTGTATGCTAATAGTAAAATAAAACTGCTGAAAAATGAAAATGTAAAAATTAAGAAAATTAACGAACTTTATTAAAAATAAAATTGGAAGTAAATTAATATTTTACAGTTTATACAACAGAGAGAGACTTTTCGATAAATTTGTTACCTAAATCGCTAGTGCTGTTAAGCACCAATAGAACACATTGCACCATAGTGATCAACAAATATAAACTCGTAGAGATATGAAGATCCCCTAAGGCCCATGTTAAAGGCACGGGTAATTCCGCTGCTTGGCTCTTGACAGATGCATTAACGTGGACGTCTCCTTCCTTCTCGCCTGTTATCATAGGCATCAGCATGAAAATTGACGAAGCCACATAAGAGAAACCTATGATACTGTAGCAAATCATCCTTCCCATGAAAGCGTGCCGCCGCATGATCGTGCGCTTCTCCTCGGTGTCGATCGCGAGATAATCGTTCACAGCAGACGAGAAATTGCGAATCAGATTGTCGGCGTACAAGCGGAAGGACAACAGTTTTAACACAGAGAGAACGGTGCAAACCATAATCATGAGAGCATCGAGTTTCACGTATGCGTCGCCGCTACCGAAATTGATTTCGAGGAACAATACAACCATCATCACGGTCTACACAGACAGGAAGGACGGACTGTTTATTACGAGGTTTTATTCCTGCTTTTGGTTTCCACTTTCGTGTCCACGCTGCACTGAGCATCTCACTTGAGCTGTCAAACTTGATAGACGAAAATAGCAAGGGGAGAATAATTTTATTATGACATATAAGATGAAAATAGAAAACGTACCAAACTGAAGATACACACGATACAACGGACTAAGGAAAATGCATTATATTTTTGCAAGGGCCAAACGCCTAATGGTAGAGTTAAGAATTTCAAGGGAGTCATAGCGTACGCGACATCGTTATTCCATGACATTATCGCAGTTATGTAGAGCTACGCGTTGCACAACACTCAATAATATCGGTGTTTGTCCATAATACGAAACGATCATCGGCGACATTCGCTTTCACGTTCATATTTTATTGAAGCTGCATAATTTAACGTGCATTAAAATACCTTGTTATTTTCCAAAACATAGTTATTTTAAAAACTGAAGAAAACTCCAGTTTTTTATATGGAAGTAGGGTGGGACAAAGATCGAATTATGGGAAAGAGAAGGGGGGGGTGTTTTATTTTCCTTCCAGTGCATCATCTGTCATTGATCGTGTTACTGTCTTTTTTTCCGATATCATTTTTTTTATTCATAATACATACGATGAATTTAGAATTTAGTATTCAGTTTCTGGCAACACGAATATTGTCAATATCAACATTTAAATCTAATTCTAATTAAATCTAATCTAAAAGTTATTTACTTAGACAGCCAAATTTGCAAGTAGACTTTGCAAACATCTGCTACAAATTTTCTTGGTAGAGAATATTAGAAATATTACAAAATATGCCATCTGGTGAAAATAAAAAAATCCAAATTCAGTATTAGTTAAATGTAGGTAAGAAGAAAGTAAAATAAACCTAACAAAATATATCGAAAAAAAATAAATGAAAACAGCTAAAAGTGAAAGAAGCATTTTATGACATAAACGCTTGTTTTTGCTTTGCTATTTCAATTTACGCTTTCTAGAAATTTCATTTACGCTTCTGTCACTGTCTCTTTACATGCAATTTATGCTCTGATTTTTATTTTCGCCAGGATAACAAGATATAACAACAGATTGACTGCACAAATTGAGTGATACTATTTTTGTAACTTATAAATATAGTCAAATGATATTTCTGTTTTATATACAATTATGAAATAACTAATTCTCGATCTTTGCAACCAATCTGTTGTTGGATTACTTATATTGGAAAAATGTTCTGGCAGAATATAAGTTTAATACAAACGCAGATAGCAATCTGACACAATAATATTCAACACGAATATATTGGCAAGCTGCTAAAATTTTACGTACTCGACCATTGTCAAATTGTATGCAGTGAACGTATTTTTGCAATTGCGAAGTATATGTTATTGCAAAACTTCTCACAGTGACGTTAAAGTAATATACAATACATTTACAAATGTAAGAAAAAATCATTTTTTATTTATTTTGGTTTGATTATTCAGTTTCACACATATATCCTGTGTCTCATGATATCTTGCAATAATTGTACAAAATGATATTGTCTACGGTGTGTCTGTCGGCGCCCTACGTGTTCACCATCACTCGTAGAACAGACAAATATGAGAGTGAGCTTTTCAAAATGGTCATATACGTCTCGATAGTTAAGACAATAAATCTGCCCGCTAAGAACTGCACTGGTTGTTGCGACTGCATAATGACAAACGAAACATTCTTCATAAATTTCTTTGGCAAGTAGTACCAATTGCAGCTGTAAATCGAATGCGCGACGTCTTCCATTTGATACTTCAGATAATCGCCCACAAAACTGTAGAAGAATAACTGTAACAGTAGTGTGCTCAGTACTGTTACAGTTTTAGTTATCATCATTGCGTCATGCGATTTCAACGCCAAGATAAATTGAAAACCTGAAAAATGGACAATTACACAACATGCACAAGTCAACACTGTCTGGCACTATTAGTAGAAAAATCTTATCAGTTTATTTATCCAATTTTGTTATGTCATTGAAATACCACGAAGTTAAATTAGGAAATATTCGGTTAAAAAGATTTTTAGCTTTATACCTTTTTCTGCAGGAAAGATTTACATATTCTAGCTGTATTTTGCTCGTTTTACATAATAATAATCGCAGAAATATTGTGTGTGAATTTAGAGATATTTACCGATCATACTAATAATAAGACAACTGAACAGCACTTGCACGAGCAAAACGTAACTTATTACATCGGTCAGGAGTGTCGCATGCTCTATAAGATAACGATGTCTTAATGTCAATATTGAAAAATCTTTATTTAGATTTTTGCCTTTCATGCCATAATTAATAAACTCGATTTTTAGAAGTTCCAATTGACCACAAACATGGAGAGTGATTGCGAGGAAAAGTGAATCATTGCCTTTAGAAATAAATTTTAATGTTGCATTAAAATAGTCAACACTGAAAAATTTTAATTGTTAATTAAATAATTATTAATTAAAATATGCTGCAGAAATGATGTCAAAAAATCTGAAATTGCATTGCAATTGTATGAAATGCAATTACGATAAACACATGCATTAAAAAAGAATACTATAAACATTTGAAAGTTTAATATAGGTATTTAATACTGATAAATCTTTTATTTAATTAGATATTTACTGTAGTTTGCATATTAATAGCTAATAAAATTGTTGAACCTAAAAATGTAAAAATTAGGAACTCGCAATGAACTGTATAAAATGTGAAAAGTTGAAAATAAATTAATATGTTGAATTCAAATCTTTTTGATATTAACAATTAGCTTATTACCACAATTGCTGGTGCCAGTGAGCATCAATATCATATATTGCATCGTAGAAATTACGAAATATAAACTTGTGGGGATATTCAAGTTCCCTAAAAATGTTATGGGCATGGGTAGTTTCGATAGTTGAGTTTTAATGGATACATTAACTTGGACATCCTTCTCGCTTGCTATCATGGGCTCCAGCATGAAAATTAAGGAAGCCAAATAAGGAAGAAATACGATACTGTATAAAATCATCCTTCCCAGGAAAGCGTGCCGCCGCATGATTGTGCGCTTCTCCTCGGTGTCGATCGCGAGATAATCATTCACAGCAGAAGAGAAATTGCGAATTAAATTTTCGGCGTATAAGCGGAAGGACAACAATTTTAACACAGAGAGAATGGTGCAGACCACAACCATAAGAGCATCGAGTTTTATATAGGCATTGCCGTCACCGAATACAATTTCGAGGAACAACGTGATCATCGACACAGTCTACACAGGCAGAAAGAATGGATTATTTATCACAAAGCTTTATTCCTATTTCTTGTTTTCACTGCGCACTAAACATATTTCACTTGAATCGATTTTGATGTTAACAGTACAAGTTGCAGAGAAAGAAGGAAAGTCCATAAAGCAGTTTCTGACTGCCTTTAAATTTTATTTTACAGTATAAACACCTTATTATTTTAAGAATTATTGAAATTTAGCGATACTAGTCTAAACATATGGTCGGACATATATTTTGACGCCTATTCTGTTATTAATTAATCCAATTTCTATCATTACATCGATCTATCGATACATAAGTTTTCTTATATTTGCGTGTGTGTGTGTGTGTGTGTATATATATATATATATATATATATATATATATCATAGGCATAATACATCTAATCTGAAAAATATGGGATCGAAATATAGGTACGGCCGTGGATACATCGGTTGCGACACTTTTTTTGTAGGTTTCTAATATGTATTTCTAATATGTATTTCTAATATGTAATATACATAATATATACTTAATAGATAACTAATAATATTTTGCAAATGCGAACCACAATTTGCAACTATCTTTAGTCTAGAGATAGTATAACACCAATCGTGGTCTGCATTTGCAAAATATTAGTGCGTTTTGAAACCTATAAAAAAGAAAGTGTCGCAATCGATGTGTCCATGACTGTACATAGAAAAGAACTTACTCTGTTATGTACCCCTTGCATTTTCTTTTATACACAACACATACAAATGTAAGGAGATAATATGTATATGTATATAATGGTAGAAATGGGATTATATAGTTACAAAACAGCGTTAAAATAGCGTCCGTTTAAACTAGTATCTCCTGATTTTAATAGTTTTTATAATAATAGAAAGTTTTTCTGATATCTTAAAATAATATTTAAAAAAAACCAGCTGGACTCTGTTTCTTTTTTTGGAATATGCAATATGAAAATGGAAAACGTACCAAACTGAAGCCGCATATGATAGAACGGATTAAAGCAAATGTATTATATTTTTGTAAAGGCCAAACGCCTAATGGTAGAGTTAAGAGTTTGAAGGGAGTCATAGCGTATGCCACATCATCATTCCATGACATTATTGCAGTTAAGCAGAACTGCACGTTACACGGTAACTCAATAATATCAGCCTCTGTTCACAAGTCGATCCTTTCGAAAGCGACATTCGCTTTTGCATTCATATTTTATTGGAATTGCGCAATTTTAACGTTTAGTAAAGCAGCTTGTTATTTTCCAGAACATACTTATTTTATAAAACGAAGAATAATTTTTTATATGGAAGTAGAGTGGGGCAAAAATCGAATTGAGAAAAAGGATATCTTATGTTCAGTACATTTTCTGTCATTTTTCGTGCTGCAATATCTCTTATTCCGATACCATCATTTAATGAAGAATACGACTAGTTTAGAATTTAGTGTGTCAAACAACACGTCGATATCAACAATTGAATCTATTCGTCACATATCAGATAATCAAATTTATTGAAGGGAGATTTTTCGAAACGTTTTTTATATAACAGAATGTGCTACACACTGACGAAACTAAAAATAAAAATAAGTCGAATGTAAGGGCAAAGTGATAGAAGCATTACGAAACATCGAACATCAAAGAAAAGTCCACTAAAATAACGAAAAATAAAAGAAGCATTTCACGAGATAAACATCTCTTTTCATTTTGCTGT